AGCGTCGACAAGGTACACTGGTCAAGAGTCCAAAGCCCTTCCCTGGAAACATTCAACACATGACTCACCGAGTCCAGGCAGCAGCTTCTTTGGAAAACCATCTTCGCAGCATTCCAGTGATTCCACTTGCCTCACAACGTTTCTTTGTCCAGCGGTGTACCCAGGAGGTCCATGACCACTGACAACCCACTCACTTTTCCAGTCTTTCTGTGAAATCAATGTCCCTGGGTCTACGATGTGCGAGTTACTCTGCAGCTTTCTCCTTTCTTCCAGGGGGCGCTATGGAATTTATAGGCTTATCACTGATCACCGCACCATGGTGTCTTTCCCGAATCCTAGCGCGGAAGTGTCACTGCCAGCCCAAGGTGCACCACGCTTCTCTTGCGTGTCATCCGCGACCTGACATGTCACCCTGCTGTCATGCACTGCATTGTTTACCCACACTGATGCTCTCAAACACTCGTGCTTCTCAGTGCTCTCCACTCCCCACTCCAGCAGTTCACCCTTCTCATAGAGTGCAGCTCAAGCTGCTACAATCCATGGCTGCGCGAGGTCCTGTACTTCCTCAGTTGCGTTCGTTCAAAACAAACGTTGGTCTCGACTATGTCTAGAAAACTTGTTTCAAATCACATCAGTGGGCCCAGGACGGCTTTAAATGTATTCTTCAATGCGCATGCACGTGTGACACCCTTGGCATCGAATAAAGTCTCAAAAAGTGCAAATAGTCCAAAAGAAATTCTTTACCTTATCAAAAGCATATGTAAAGTATCAACAAATATTCTATCGTGACCTGCGCAGGCCAAACACATTGGAATAGTGCAGGTTTCAGAGGGACTGCTAGCTGCTCAGACTAATGTGGTATCCCGAGCAGAGACGTCGCTGTCGTAGCTGGCACAGTACATTGGAATAGTGTAGGTGTCAAAGACATAGCTACCTATCACAAGCCTTTGGTGCAAGTAGCAGAGAGAAAACCCAAGAGAAAGAGCACTCGCGCAGGAGGCATAATTCATTCGAATGTTTTTTGCCCGCGGAGTTCACCTCCAAATACTTAGTTCGTGGCAGGCGCCGGCGCAGGAGATGAAGTGCAGATTTCGTGGCGCGGGGGGGGTTGGGGGGGGGCGCAGCGCCCCCCCCCCAGCAGCACAAGTACTAGATGGAACATAACAGCACCAGTTCAACGAATCTGCCTTGAAGTGGGAAACACTGATGGATCACCTCTACCAGGGGTGAATTGTTGTAACCAAAGCTGATTCCAAACTTGTGTCCACACCATGCCGGAGTGCTGACGATACAATGCCTAGTGCAACAAAACGGGGTCAAACAAGTACTGACACCGACAAGACAGTCGGACAATCCAAACCTGAAAATTTCACGCTTGGGTGACAAGCTGAGCGACGGTTCGCTTGCCAAACAAGCTCTGCAGCAATCGACTCCCACCACGTGCCTCAAACATGTGTTTGTGCACGCGAGTGCGACCTGCTTTTGGTTGTCGCGGCTCCAAAGCCGTCGGCAGCAATCTAAACATTACCGCATGAGAATGCTCTACACATGCTACGCTAACCTCCATGGTGCGTGGCCGCTATCGTTCCACCACGCCTACCCTTTTGCACACACACGACCTCTGCGCACAAAACACGGCAAAGAACTGACACACGTCCCTGTATGCTACGACTATGCACCGATTGCCAAGCTTCATTGCTGTGGTCCCCGCTTGCTGGGCGTTGCTTCGACAGACTGCTTTGGCCCGTCCGTCCTTAGGGTCGTCGCCCATGCCGATCGAGTCGGCGACAATTGGGCAACAGATTCCCGCAAACAATCATGAGTGTCAACTGCTGCTTGCTCCTCAAATCTTCTACCCACTCCCATGTTGCATCTTACCTGCTAATAGCAATAAGTTGTCCTGGAACTGTGCTCCGGGACACCCCCTGCATTCATGCGTGCACCCGTGATCTACCCAGCACTCCCCATCTTCATGGAAGCGTGCCGCCCCGCCAGCTCCGACCTCACCCCCCTGGTCTCTCTGTGGGAACTGGAGCGTGCCTCGCCGCCTGGGCACGCACGGCGAAGACCACCTTGACGTTGCCGCCGTTGGAGCCTGCGCCCTTGATGTCCACCGAATAGATGCCTCTGGGCAGGCGGCGATCGTTTCGGGAGTCGTGGTGGTGGTGGTGGCGGTGGTCGTGGTAGTCGTAGTCGTAGTCGTCGTCGTAGTCGTCGTCGTCGTACTAGTAGTAGTATAGTGGTAGTAGTAGTAGTAGTAGTAGTGGTAGTGGTAGTGGTAATAGTAGCAGTGGTACTAGTAGTAGTAGTTGTAGTCGTCGTAGTATTAGTATTAGTAGTAGTAGTAGTAGTAGTAGTAGTAGTAATAGTAGTAGTAGTAGTAGTAGTAGTAGCAGTAGCAGGAGTAGGGCGCTGGCCAGTACAAGCGCTAGTACTAGTACTAGTGGTAGTAGTAGTAGTAGTAGTAGTGGTAGCAAGAATCTGGGGTTAAGA